TCCTCTCAGATTGCCTCTTGTCTCTTAAGGAGCTTCTGACTTCACTACATACATGGTGTGGGCTGGAGTCAGAAGATGAAGACAGACAGCCTGTGGCCGATAAACAGACAGTCCCCAGCAAATATATAAATCTGTATTATCAGAAAACATGCAGGTTTCCCTACAGAGCAGGGTATCAGGCAAAAGGATGCCGCTATTATGGAGTAAGGAGGGTGACCTGTGTCTGAAGGACTGCAGGGCTGAAACACCGGAGAAGAGGACTTGAAACATAATCCAAAGGTATTATGCCACTTTAAAGTTAAGCTTCACCTAACAGGGAAGAAAGGAAGTAACTGAGAAATAACAGTTCTGTTTATGGTGCCCACAGTCCTACCCATGCAGACGGAGATGTCTTTCAGAACGGTAGTGAGACTCCTTGTTCCCAACAAGCTCCCTGCTCACTCCGTCATGATGCCGTCTGAGTTGCGTTGGGGGTCACGCTGACGTCTCTAAAGGTCTTTCCCTGCTAAAAGGGAAACGTAGGCCAAAGAAATGCTCCCCTCTTAGCTCCAGGCAAGCTCCTGGAGGGCCGAGCAGCACTGACCACAGCAAAAGCCCTTTGACATTGGCAGCGAAGGCTCCATCTGAGCCAAGGAGAACTGAGCGGTGTGTGAAGAGCAGGATGACAGTACGCGTGGGGACACTTCTCCATCCTGGACCCCCTGCAGTAGCACGATTGGACCTCTTGGCATCCTTCTCATTCAAAATAAGCCCACCCTTGGCTCAGTGCCCATAGCACAGTGGTTATGGCACCAGCCATTACACTGAGGCTGGTGGGTTTGAATCTGGCCCGGGCCTGCTAAACAACAATGATAACTGCAACAAAAAGTAGATGGGTGTTGTGATGGGTGCTTGTAGTCCCAGTTACTTGGGAAGCTGAGGCAAAAGAATTACTTAAGCCCATGAGTTTGAGGTTGCTGTGAGCTATGACACCACAGCACTCTATAGAGGGGGAAATAGTGAGACTCTGTCTCGAAAAACAACAACAACAAAAAAAGCACACCCAGCGGGGTAGGGCTGGCTCCCAAAGAGAAAGGGGTTTGCCATCCCCAATGGAGAGAGACCTATATTATCTCTCTCTCTCCAAGAATGCACAAATACTCATCAGACCACATGCCTTAATGTAGGGCTCAAAAAATACCATCAGCGCACTCTGCCCACTTGGCAGTCGGTGCCATGGGGGATCCAGACCTGCTGGAAAGAGTCCAGGGCCGGGGCTAGACTGGGGAGCCTGAAAGGGAGGCCCTGGGCACAATGGCAAGCAGCACCACCCTCTCCTCTCTTTGGTTCAGCCCTGCAAACAAAGGCAAGGGATCTATCCCTGTTTTAGGTGAAAACAAAAATTATAACCTAAAACCGGACCCCACGCTTCAGCTATTTACAGCATGAACTCAGGACTCAAAAGTGCCAGGTTCATGACAACACTCTCCAGAGACATAAATGAAATTACTAAAATTATAGGCGACTCAGCTATTTAAGGGCCATTACACACATTTCTAAATCTGAATGATGCTTGGGTTAGTGGAAGCCTTTGACCTTCCAGAAACTCTTCTTAAAGACACAAAATATTAAAGATAGTTTGAGCCTAAATAAATAAAGCCAGATCTTGTGCCGATATTTGGAGGCCTGAGATTCTCAAACAGGATCCCGTTTCCTGAGGCTTGGCTGTTCACCAGGCGTCAGTCTTAGAGTATTTGCCCTCCTGAAGTAGCTGCAACATTTTAGACTAGAAACCAGATGTTTATTTGTGGAATTTAGCCTTGCCCACAGTTTACCAAAATAACAAGAAAACTAGCCTTTTTCTATATCTGAACTACATTTTCTTTCCATCTAATCTTGTAATGCCCAGAATACATGCTTAAGAAAAGGACTGCATGAGCATATATTCCTCAAAGAAATGGAAGAAAAACTCGGAAGGATTTCTCCCAAACACATCATAAATAAGGCATGTGTGGAACTTATGTTTATCTTTACTATTGCCTAAAAAATTATCACTACCAACATTTGATTATTTTAATCACTAAATATTTTAGTGGCATTTATACATCTTTGTTTTCATTAGAAACAAATGGAAGATGACAAAAGCTACAATTTGATTTCTAAATTAACATACAGAGACCGCAAACACAACCTAGTAAGAGCTTAGTGTCTGTACGTCCACTCTGCCAGCACTTAGAGATGAATTTGTGAAAATGGCTAAGCAAGGCCTTAAAATACTTTTAAGACAAAGAGAAAGAGAGAAATGGACTTTGGGGTTAATAGCAGTGGGGAAGGGGGAGCCAGGAGAACACGAAACTATGGGGAGAAATACTGACAGGAGAGAAACACACACAGAATGAGAAACGTCAGAGAAAAAGAGAGAAAACCTTTCCCTGTGACCTCGGAGCTTCCACTCCACACGGATTCAAAGCTAGCACACTGTCTATGCCATCTCAAAATAATTCCAGAGGGCTGAATGTTGTTTATTAACTATTTAGTAATTATTGAAGAATCAGAAGAAATTGCAGATAAAGAATCTTGGGGTGAGAACATTCCTAACAGCCATAACTCCAAAGGCACCATCACATAGGTTTGTGCACGTCATGACCTATGTACTTTAAAAAACCAGAACAGAGTGTCAGGCAAGGATAGAAGGACTTTGTGTTCAGTATATATGATAAAAGCATCATCTGATGAGTACACAGGGATCTCTTAAAATAGGAATTGTTTTAAAAAAGTAAATCCTTGGGGAGGTGGAAACAGGCATATGATAGGAAAAGGCACTTCACAGAATACAAACATCCAGTGGGAACTGTTGTACTTCACTGGTCCCCGAGAAGCAATAGGATGACAAAGCTGTAAGACATGTGTATGTTATATTATCTTACAGTGTCAGCGGGAAAAAAGCTGACCCAGGGTTGTCAAGGACACAGAAACACAACCTCTCAGACGCCGCTGGGGGAGTGAAGAGTAACCCAGCCTTTCAGGAGGGCAATGTAGCAACAAGTTGTAAAAGCCTTTTATCTAACAACTCCTTATCTAAGCACTAATCTTGAGGAAAATATTAAAGGTGTTTCCAAACTTTCAGCTAGTGAGACTGCTGTTTATGACAGAGAAGACTCAGACACAATGTAAACATCCAATAACGGGGAATGGGGTTATAGGAAACTCAGAAACCTCAGTACAATAAGATGGTAAAAACCCATTAAAATGAAGTCGTGATGGTTTCTGACACGGAAAGAGCCTGTGTTATTGGGTGGAAAGAGCAAAATTGAGTTCAGGTGCTGAGAATTTTATCGGCCGCATGGGACTTGGTATGTCCTTTTATTTAGTATGAATTCATTGGTGACAGGAAAATACAGAAATAAAAATTGATCCTATCAAAATAAGTAGTTAATTTAGAAATATGGAAGGTTTCGGTTTTCTTCTTTTGCTTGTCTGTGTATCCAGAAACTCACACAAGTGGCATTTATTGTCTTTGGAGATAGAAAGGAAGAATTTCACTAGATGATGCTGGAGGTAAGGAAAGGCCTGGAGACCCGTGTTGAATGTCTGAGTAGGAGAAAGGAGGTGGCAAGTCCACAGTAGGAGCTCAACTATGTTACTGCATAAATATAAACATTATTCATTTATCTTTGTAATAAACAGAAACACTCCATGTTACCTGCGTGTGTAAATACAATGAATATCATACACACACATAGTCACGGCAAAAAAAAAACAAAAGAATACACAAGGCAATGCGGACAGGCCTCAGCTGTTACTTCCAGGTGTCATGACAATGAGTGATTTTGAGATTTTTTTTCCAGGAGTTCACATGTATGTCTTCTCTATTTTTCAAAATATATGCCATGCAAATGTTTTTCATTTGTAAATACAGGAAAATAGTTCTTAAAGAAAATAATAATCGTGTGGAGGCCGAGACTGCCTGGAATGTGAGCAGTGTCCTATTTTCCAGCCCATCTAGCAACCGCACCTCTGTCTGCCCGGACCCCTGTGCTGTGTGTAAGGAGCTCCCAGGGCCTGATAACTTGTTATGGGAAGTCTGCTCTCTTTGTTCCCATGCGGCGTCTCCAGTTCAGACTTCCGTTGTTCTTCAAGCCATTTCCCTGCACAGAGGTGCCAGTGGTTCCGGGCCCCTGAGCCTGGAGTTGGAAGCCACCTGTTCAGGCAGCTGCATCTCCTCCTATATGCCCTGCATCACCAATTGCAGAGAACTCGTCCGCCTAGTATTGTTTCAAGTGCACTCTGTATTTCTCTACCTCTATTTTTGCTCAAACTATCCCAACTACTGCATCCCACTGGGAACCCTGTAAGGCTGAGGTCCCCAACACCTGGGCTGCAGGCTGGTATCTGGTGTCCGGCCTGTGGCCTGTTAGGAACCAGGGTGCACAGCAGGAGGTGAGTGGTGGATGAGAAAGGGAAGCTTCATCTGTGTTTACAGCCTCCCCATCACTCACCTCACTACCCGAGCTCCGGGTCCTGTCCGATCATGGGCTGCGTTAGGTTGTCACAGGAGTGCAAACCCTTGTAACCTGTGCCTGTGAGGGATCTAGGCTGTGCACTCCTGTGACAATCTAAAGTCCCTGCCACTCCCTGTCCACGGAACCATGAAGCCATTCCCTGATGCCAGAAAGATTAGGGGCTGCTGCTTTAAGGCACAGCCGGAAAGCCATCTTGCTTGTGCTTCCCCATGGCCTGAGAGCAAACGCAGCCCATTCACATCACACACAAAATAACAAGAATAATAACAACTATCGGTTTTCCCTTTTCTATTAGATGGATTGTTTCTTTATATCCATCCCCTAACCCAGGTGCTTAGTAAATAGCAGAAAGTTATAGTACAGGAACAAATAAGAAGGCTTTCTGTGATAGGAGGTTGGTACATCGCAGTCAGACGATCCTTCACTAGGGGAATATCTTAGTACTCCACTCCGAGGCTCCCACCGCCCTGGCCGGACCCCGCCTGCCCGGGCGGGTCCCTAGCAGTAGCCCACCAGCCGCAGGGTGGTGGGGAAGCTCCTCCGCATGCTCATGCACTTCTCCTGGTCGATGTACAGGGTGTTGGCCTTGATGGCCAGCTCGTGCTCCAGGGTGGCCTTGTTGTGTACCAACTGCTGCAGGCTGTCCTCCGCGTCCCTCAGGCGCTGCTGCAGGGTCTGGATGGTGTCGTCCACCTCGTACACCTCGTTAACAAGGCTGCGGGAAGGAATGACACCGTGAGGTTAGCAGAGGTCACGCTCCTGCAGCTTGAATCAGGGCAGCTATGGCTGCCGATGCTAACTGGAGACGCGGCTGTGTGCCAGGTGGCACCTGGAGCCCCAGCAGCACACGGGCTGCACCTTGATATAGCAAAGGAAGCAACGCCTGTGCCAATTCTAGACCCAGGCCAGGGCCACATCTGTTCACAGCCCCTCAGAATCCAAAGGCAAAACTAAGCATAGACTTGGGACAGCAGCAAATCTTCACACACACGCATATGTACATATTCCCATGTATACGTATGTTAAATAGTAGATTTTAAGAGGCGGGAAAACTTCTAAACATTCAATATATTTTAAATAGTAAAAATGGAAAAGTCAAAACTTAGCTATATTTGTTTTCATTTCTTTTATCCTCGAAAATTATTTTTACAGTTGGGAAGAGAGGGACATTGAGTTTTTTCCAGAAGCTAGAATTTAGCCCAATGTGTTAACATATCCTGGTGGGTGGCAGAGGATGGGAGTTCTCTTCAAAGTATAACAGCTATAACAGCCCTCCTGCCAGCGATATCCCAAGGTAATGCCTTCAGGTGAAGAGTAATATATTTGTATTTGTCAAAAACTTAAAACAATGTAAAAATGGTAACGTGTGAAATTAGCTGCATAAGCCATGAGGCAAGCTGCAGCTGACTGTGCTGTGCTAGTGAAAAGCATCACACATGTTTCTGGTTAGGACCCAAAGGAATCAAAGGTGTCATTTCATGGAAGAATCTGGCATGTCCTTTCCAGATTATTTTAATCCACACTGTTTTAAATTTCAATTCTTTCATTATAAGTGGACTATTCCCGCGGGTCTGCTGGCCGTTTGACATTTCTTCTGTGAGCTACAGCTCCCTGCCTCCGGCTGCCCTTCTGCTGGGGCTCCCCCTCTGTCCTTACTCTCTGCTCTGGGCTCCTCAGTATTGGGCCCCCCCCATCCTTACTCTCTGCTCTGGGCTCCTCAGTTCTGGGGCTCCCCCTCTGTCCTCACTCTCTGCTCTGGGCTCCTCAGTATTGGGGCTCCCCCCCATCCTTACTCTCTACTCTGGGCTCCTCAGTTCTGGGGCTCCCCCTCTGTCCTTACTCTCTGCTATGGGCTCCTCAGTGCTGCTCATCATTCATTTTTTTCTTTTTGTCTGTTATGCTGGGGGCAGATGTTTTCCTTAATTTGTTGTTTGCCTTTTAATTCTGTTGATGATATAAGATTTTGATGTTTATTAAAGTAAAGCTTTCTCTTTTCTTTTGGGTTTTCTTCCATTGTGTTTGTGTTTAGAAAGTCTTAAGCTTCCCAAAGAGCAGTTAAGCTAGGGTTCCCTTTACCCACTGATTGGGCGGATAATATGCAATTGATGTGACCATGCAGCACTCAAGAGAAAGAACAGGAATCAGGTTACAAAAGACAGTGGTAATGGTAATAATGGCAACTCACTTGCTGACTACCCTACCGTAGGCATGCGTGGTACACCTATGTATATACTATTCTAAGTGTTTTACATTATCAGACAGTTCAATCTTCACAACGTCACTATGAAGAAGATATTGTGGTGTCCCCACTTAACAGAAGAGGTACAAGGAGCTTAACCCCTCCCTTACAATTTTGGGGGTCCTCCCCATCAGCGCCCTGACTCAGGTCAGTTGCAAACGCAACTCCAAGTACATCAGGTTCAACCAGTGATGCAAAGCTGAAGTTTTCTTTGCTTTGGAGTTCATTTATCAGCAGACGATGGGGACACGAAATGAATTAAAATATACAGAAATATAAAGAGAATGGTAATAATAAACAAACAGGGATATGGATATTCCTGGAGATAGAAAAGGATTTCATGATTATAGAAAAATGCCAGGACCATGTCAAAATCATTATGCCAAAGCAATTTTACAGCTTCGCAGAACCTTTCACAGAACACAAATGCTGGAGAGGTCATCGAGCCCACTTCCTTGTTTACAGACTAGGAAGTCCAGCCCTGAGGGGCGAGGAGTTGCCCTCTCCCCCAGCACAGGCACACGTGAGCTTGTGAGCGTGCCTGGTTTGCAGGAAGCTAAGAAGGAAATTTGGAGCCTCTGTGGCCATAATAAGTAGCTGGTGCCCTTTCCCGTCTCCATCCTCTTGGGTCCTTGTGACCAGAGGAGC